GAGCAGAGTACCAAAATATAAGTATATTCGCGGTAAAGACCGCATAAGAAAACGCTCATTCATGACTAGTACTGGAAGTCCAAAGTCCACTGGGAATCAGCAAGACAGGTCAGAAGCAGCTTATCCACGCAACTTCTATCAAGTGCGGTGGCTGCCACGTCATTTCCGGTGACACGCCCAATTAGACCTTCGAGATATCGACTGTAATAGAGAGCGAAGGATCGGACACAATGAATTCATCAAAAGCGGACACCATCTCATCTACAAAGAAATTGCAAAATCTAACCTCTAGCGCAGCCGCGAATATATTTAGTTTGAAGCCCACAGCGATACCAAGCCCCAAACCTTACGAATAGATGAGTAAAGAAAGAAAATAACAACACAACTACTCACTTATCCGACACTCCACTCTTCTCCGTCATGAAAAAGACTTCGTGAGCAGTTAATGGACCTTGAGCACTTTGTCCATGTAGCAACTCTTTTTCGATCTGTGCAAGCGGTTTCCCCGTCTTTGCGAACGCTTCGCACACCTTTCGGTTACGACCACCATAGCACGTGGTGATCAGATCAGCGATGCCACATGATTCAAAGAAGGTTTCCAAATTCGAGCCAGGGTAGTAGTACTCAACAAACTAAAGTAAAGAACTTCATGGAAATAAACCGAAGGGACTCTCAAAACGAATTCCATAATAAACTCTAGAGCAGCATTACCTTGGTGATTTCCATGAAGTCCCAACCGAATGACGGCCGCCTTCGTATTGTCCCCGTAACCAAGACCATCGGTGAAACCAGCAGCGCAAGCAACCACATTCTAAACAAACATTGTAGGCAGTAACAATTAAGGTCCAGACATTGTCTTATTATATAAATCGCAAACTTGATATGGTTTATCAGAAATAAAACTATTGAAATTACCCAACCGCTAGCAAAACTGAAGAGCTCCAGGTTTTACGACATCAATGTTTTGTGATGAGCGAGGGGGTGGGAAAGGGAGGAAAACTAACAGATCATAAGTAATTTCAAAAGACTTTAAAGCCTCATTCCCATAGTATGTCATGATTATGACAAGACTTTTCACTAGAGAAAACGCCCATTTTGTGCATGCGCACATCCTCCACGAGACGTTCACTTCACACATGAAAGTGAGAACAGTGGAAGGCGCAAATCATTCGCAGGGAAAAGGAGGTTACGTCGATTGTCGGGGAGACAGTACTGGTAAAACCGATTACTGGTGACGTTGCTTTATTGTTCAGATACTGTCGACCAGATTTTCCAAAATAATTGTAAGACCAAGTAATCAAGCGCAAGGAAGAAAAGTGGTTCAACACACCTTCAGCGCACCACAAAGCTCAACTGTATGCGCATCCTCCACCACGTTTATACGGAAATTATCACGGTTGAAAAGCTTTTTCAGGATATCACCATGTTCTGCCTTCTTCTTACAACCTGAAATTCATGAAAATGAGAAGAAATCTAGAGGTTAAAGAGCGCACTACTCACCAATAGTGGCTTCACAAAAATCATCGTTAGCGACTTCGTGAGCCAAATTCGCTCCCATCAAGACACTAACGTCAATATTTAGGAATTTCTTTAATTTCATCCGAGATCAATTTAACGCCACCGAGCTTCTCGGCGTATGGTGCCGCCAGACCCTGAAAGCGAAGTGCACTGATAAAAAAGTATGAGTGTGCTGTCTCCACCGTAATATTTTACACAACAAGGCACTGAAGTAATCATAATTGCGAATCACGAATAGGACAGAGTGAATGAGACAACTATTTAGCGAAGCAAACTTACCATTTGAATATTTTCCTAAGGAGTTCACCTCGATACATAACGAAGGATAATGGGCAAGTGGAAGGGGCAGTACTACAATACAAAGACCGAAGTGATCTAAGGAGAGCTGCTACGCTGGAGACTTTCGAGACTTCTAAAGTAAACCAAAACTTTGTGGAAGCCTGTCTTGCGATCACGTTCGGTGACTATATGTTTTCACTTCATTGTCATGCAAAACTATCCTTTCCTAACTACACTGCGTCCCATAATTATAACTCCACCCAAGAATTTCCCAAAATCTCACAAATTTAGATGTTTTAGAAAAAGTCTCTAATGTGGCAGTGTGTCAAATACAAATACGAAATTCCTTATAAGCATCATCTTCCAACTTGAGATCCCAGGAATTTTTTCTAATAATTTTTGTTCAAAAGGCCACTTAGGCCAACGTCCCAAAATTATAACTCCACCTCATGTTTTTCTATTATTTTTCACTTCCGTTTCGCCAAACTTTTTTATTGTGCTAACATCCTACTTCTCAAGGGGACAGTATGATAGAAAATGCTGTCTGACTTTTTAAAAGGTCAGGTCGTCGCAAAAACTACTAATTAGGCAATCGCACAAGATTTTGACCAAATTCACGAGGAGCTCGAGAATTTTTTCAGGGATTTTACATGATATGGAGTTGAGAAGAGCTCCAAAGGATCTCCCCTTGCTTTTCGGTAGAAACAAAGGCCGTGTCACAGAAGAAACATCCTTTTTTATGAAGCCGTGCTCTGCCATCAAATCTTCTTCGGAACTTAATGGCTCAACGGAACAATGTTTTTTGCTTGCGAATAAGTCCCAAGTTGATTCTCGAGTGGAAAACGTGGAAGGCATCATCTGTGGTAAGAAACCATGGCGGAATTCTTGCTGAGTTTTCCGGAAAGGTGCATCCGAGCCGACTGTAGTAAGGTTCGCTCTTACTTGCGATTCATTACTGATTGTCTGTCTTTCTCTTCGGCATTTTCTTTCTCCTGGTAGTGCTTCGCGAAGAGAAAAGCTACTAAGGATGAGAAAAGCACGAAAAGAAAAACAAACAAATGCTAAAACATATCGAGCAAAAGCGAACCTTACTCCAGTCGGCTCCGTTGCATCTTTCTGTGAAAATGGGCTCAATTTTCGCCATGGTTTCCTGCCACAGATGATGCCTTCCACGTTTTCCACTCGAGAATCAACTTGGGATTTATTCGCAAGCAAAAAACATTGTTCCGTTGAGCCATTAAGTTCCGAAGAAGATTTGATGGCAGAGCACGGCTTCATAAAAAAGGATGTTTCTTCTGTGACACGGCCTTTGTTTCTACCGAAAAGCAAGGGGAGATCCTTTGGAGCTCTTCTCAACTCCATATCATGTAAAATCCCTGAAAAATTCTCGAGCTCCTCGTGAATTTGGTCAAAATCTTGTGCGATTGCCTAATTAGTAGTTTTTGCGACGACCTGACCTTTTAAAAAGTCAGACAGCATTTTCTATCATACTGTCCCCTTGAGAAGTAGGATGTTAGCACATTAAAAAAGTTTGGCGAAACGGAAGTGAAAAATAATAGAAAAACATGAGGTGGAGTTATAATTTTGGGACGTTGGCCAAGTGGCCTTTTGAACAAAAATTATTAGAAAAAATTCCTGGGATCTCAAGTTGGAAGATGATGCTTATAAGGAATTTCGTATTTGTATTTGACACACTGCCACATTAGAGACTTTTTCTAAAACATCTAAATTTGTGAGATTTTGGGAAATTCTTGGGTGGAGTTATAATTATGGGACGCAGTGTATATGAAGGAATATTCAATCACGTTCTTCAACCCCTTTCATCCCTGCGCCCGCTTGCATCCAAAGCAGCCCACCAATGTCTTCCTCACTTTCATTCTTATTTAGGATTTTACCCACACATAGCGTGTACACGGCTGAATGTTGTTGTTTGTGCATCTAATGAAAGTTTGCCTACGCCTGGCAAAAAATCGGAAAGAAAAAAAACTACAACAGGAAAAAGGCATGGAATATCCAGTCACCGTGTACACCAAGACCAATTATCCACTTTCGGAGTCATTGTTTCTCGGGTATTGGTTCATTAGGACAGAAAGCGACTTTTCGCGTTTCGCAGCGCGAAACATTTTTCGCTGCGGGAACCTCGGGTCCACTGATTTTTCGCTGCGGGAACCTCGGGTCCACTGATGATCAGAGGTGGACCTGAGGTTCCCGCAGCGAAAAATGTTTCGCGCTGCGAAACGCGAAAAAATCGCCTTCTGTCCTAGTGAACCACACCCTTGTTTTGGGTCTCCATCGAAGCATGAACAAACAAGCTCATCAACTATTACAGGCTTAACCCAAAATTTTGGCAGAACCATGTCATTCCCAAACAGGTAACAGCGTATTGTACGTTCTCGACAACCGCACCCTCTCGCTATAACCACTCCGTACATATCGCTACTCCAATTGGATTATCCAGACAATGGCGTTAGTGAGAGAAGACTAGAAGGCACTCCAATCCGAACCTCCCTGTACGCTGCTTCCTGTTTCGAAATGATTTTCAAAGCCGGTTAGATGTTCACAAAAAAGCTAAAGAATTCACTATTACAAATGGTCAGAATGACGATTACTTTCAAACGGAACCAAACTAAACTGAAACAGCAAGCAATGTCTTTGCTATAATGCGGAAGCCTCCTTAAAAGGTTGATTTTGGGAAAATGCTTTCAAGCTATACTTCTCTATCATATGTGAAAGGTAACTTGGATCTAACTGCTGGACATCGCAGGGGCTCCTGATACTTGTGTAGGCGATTTCATTATTCAGATTCAGACAGATTTCACACGAAAACGCTGAAGGTTTTCACCTTTTCTCGTGGATCAGGTTTTGCAGCAATGCCCTGAATAGAAACACACTACTAACAGACAACTATGAAGTTTAGTATAGAAGTGTAATCAGAATTAAAATAAGCCCCGGTCCAAGTGTAGTTGGGAGGGAAGGCATCGCCGCGCGGTAGCCCATCCCAGCAAGAGATGCAGTTTTTTGAAAGGAGTTCTGGTCTCGAAGCTTCTGGAGGATGAAGCATGTCGACTAAGCACCTACAGTGAAGAAAAAGAACACCTAAAGTGTGGAAAAATGTGTGAAATCACAGGGGTCATGATCCGCTGATAAGGCGAGAGAGCGCAAAGGAGAAGCATCGAGTTGTGGCGGCTTAATGACCGAGTTCAGGTAGTCCGTCGACCCAATTTGTATACGAGTACATACCCTAGGACTAAGCCCACGGAGCAGGCGCTCCAGGAGAAATGAACATGCGCACAAATCCTCACTTTCTCCCTTGGCCTAGGGTTCAATCTCACCTGTAGCAGAAAGAGGCTCTTTAACGCGTTTCTAAATATGCTGCCTACGCAATGACTCCCTGTCTCGCGATAGCACCTGGAGAAGTTTGCCATTTTCTGAATATCCTGTGCCACGATCCCCCGCCCGACCCTCCGCCAACTACACTTGATCCCCAGCTTACAACGGAAAGGCAGTTTTTTAACAATTGCCAAGCGTTCATGCCAGAGTAGCAAAGTAAGGATAAGGCTAAAGATATTATACATGAATTGAACTAAAGAAAAGAACGACGATTCAAATATGAAACATTACGCGTGAACTCTGGGGTCGGCGGGGGGGGGGGGCACGTCGCATGAGCTCTTTTCTGTACTGCTCTCCAGGCTTTGTTTTCCAGGGGCGTTACTATTTCGCCATTATGTGACTGTTTCAAAATACGCGCCATCGGTGACTCAGCCTTGGGGCGGTATTCAATCCTTCCCCCAGGGGTTGGGGGACGGAAATCCCTTTAAATTTTCCCTGTCTCCCCGAATGGGTTGTCCTGATAAAGGGCCTTACCGTTTAATGATACTTTATTGTATGTCAATGTAATCATAGCGGTGAAAATGGAAGAAATTCAATCGTTCTAACAAAAAAATTTGAAGGGGATTTCCGTCCCCCAACCCCTGGGGAAAAATTGAATACCGCCTTTGGTAGAGCAGGCGAAAAAAGCGCCGCGCCATTACATGACCCCCCCCCCTCCGAAACCAAGTTTCACCTGGAACTGCTATTAGACTCAAAACTGAATCAAGAGTTATAAATATAGAACCAAAAAATTAAAAATCGTTCCATTACGAACCTTTATCAGCGAGATGGCTTGCACATCCGAGCCAATTTTGCCTTCAAGTTGATGACAAATTTCTGAAAGGAGCAAGTAGATAATCGTGGATAGGCAAACGAAGACATCGCCTTCTTACTGTTAGTGAATCTCAATTCTTAAAATACTAATTAAACATACTTCTGACAAACTGGTGAGGTACAACAAAGATTAAAATGTTCGCCTCCTCACACGACTCCACCAAATCCGGAACAGCAATCTGAAATCAGGTTATATTCAATTGAATAATGAACACCACAGCATAAGAAAGAAGTCACGCAATAAGAACCTGGCGATAAATATGCCGAGAAAACTTTGGAAAACAAAAATGACGCTCAAACATTACTCGCTCCTCAGAGGTCAATCAAAACAGCTGATCTTTAACAAAACAGCAGCTGCTGAGCGGTTCCAATCAGTAAGACTTGTTGCGGTCTTCAACGATAGCGGGGTGTGGTTCAGTAGGACAGAAGCGACTTTTTCGCGTTTCGCGCGAAACATTTTCGCTGCGGGAGGTCCACTCATGATCAGCGGTGGACCTGAGGTTCCTGCAGCGAAAATGTTTCGCGCTGCGAAACGCGAAAAAGTCGCTTTCTGTCCCAGTGAACTACAACCATGATAGCGTACAACTATGCAGGAACTGATGTGGGAGTTCTTTCGAAAATCTATTCTAAGGTTCGAATCCTCTTCTCGAAACTCTTCTCTGATCCATGAATCCCAGTCATATGTGACTATCTTTCGAGTGATTTGACTGGGTGTGTCAACCCATGGAATGTGTTTGTGTATCTCGTACACCGATTCAGAAACACCATTTGAAAAGATTTCTGGGCAAGCTTTCGAGGGCTATCTACTGAACAAATCATTTCTACGGGTGTGGTTCACTAGGACAGAAAGCGACTTTTTCGCGTTTCGCAGCGCGAAACATTTTCCGCTGCGGGAACCTCAGGTCCACCGCTGATCATCAGTGGACCCGAGGTTCCCGCAGCGAATCATCAGTGGACCCGAGATTCCCGCAACGAACAATGTTTCGCGCTGCGAAACGCGAAAAAGTCGCTTTCTGTCCTAGTGAACCACACCCCATTCCTACTCACCACATTGTCTGGAATGGTTTTTCCTGGCAAGTATTTCACATTTTCATGACGGGTGTTGATAATTTGTGATAGCTTCTCGCCTCCCACAATCTCCTCGAACACCTGCAAAGCACAACCATTAATGCACTGGTGAAGGAAAAATGCCTATGCTGGAGCAGTATGCTGTACCTCCCTGCCGGCGAATGGGAGTAAAATCAAGTTTTATCTTTGCAACCAGGGAAGTCTCGAGAATACGTATTTGAAGCATGCGTATGCATGTAAAAAAGAAAAAAAGCAAAGAAAGTCTTTACGGAAAGATCAAAGATTTTCCCTCTCCTTCAGGAAGGTTCAGCATACGACCCCCAGTGGTCGCGGTTACATCTACCCTCCCTTTCAGAAAACGAGAACAGCGTTGGGTGCAGACTATACACCACAAGTGACGATGGCCTCCAAGTCAAATCTGGTTAGGGTTCTTATAGCTGATTTTTGGTAAGTGATAGTGATAGTAATTTGTGGCAACTGATGAATAAACTGCAAAGCTAGCCCTCATTTGATTGGCAGAAAACATTAACATTTTGTGGAGGTCGTCGTCACATGTGGTGTATGGTCCGCGCCTGACGCTCTTCTCGTTTTTTGAAAAGGAAATATACACTAGGGCGCAATGTGGCTCGGAGGGGGCCAGTCGCCGCGCGGCGTGCGGCAACAGGAAATTCGTGAGCCAGGGGGAATGTAGCCAATTCAGGGGGGTGGGGGGTGAGGGCAGTCACTTAGCATGCGTGAGAAGCTGGAATGTTCCGTGAGAAGCTGGAATGTTCGAGTTACACTACATCGCTGAGCCGCGCGCGGCGACTGCCCCCCCCGAGCACACATTGCGCCCATAAGTGATGTTGACTGGATGATACAGTTCTATCTGCGAGGGTAGAGTGGAGTGTCAGCAGTAGCACGCGTCGTAGATTGCGGCAGAATCAGGTGCTCCCCATACATAAGCTGGATATCAGCAGAGCATGGTGGCAACAGCTTATCGACCCAACTTCTATCCAAGTGCGGCAGCAGCCACATCATCTGGTGACATGCCTACCCCAACACTCGGATATGAACTGTACAGCGGTAAAATCGAATTTTTCAGTAAACACTATCAAATGACCAACTCAGATGCTATTTTTCTGTCTATTTCACAAACTCTTTCTAGCTTTTGTATAATACAAACTACATATTACCCACCATTTCGAAAAACGAGAAGAGCGTCGAGTGCAGACCACACACCACAAGTGACGACGGCCAAGGAAAAAGTGGTTTGGTGTATGGCCTGTACTGGACGCTCTTTTCGTTTTCCGAAATAGTGGGTACGTCTATCGGTACAACGAAATATGAAATGACCCACTACTCCCTTCTATTAACCACAACCACAAAAATCAAAACAATAGATTCACATCGGGTCTTGCAACGAAATCGGACAATTCGAGTTCGGAATCACGAACCCACATACGGACGGTTGGATCGAACTCATCTGGGAAGCTCTTTGTAGTAGCGCCGACGATTCGAGCAATGGCAGAGCCCCTGAATTTATCATTTGAATGTTGAAAAAGTCTGTCATGCAAGCAAGCTCAGCAACATCAATAATCTCCTGCTCGATCTGCAGATAAGAAATGAACGAAGTAAACAAGTCGACAGGTGAGACTGCGGAAAAACATGTGGACGAATACCAATAAATAAGCTCGTCTCGTGCGCACAACGATAAGAAGGCAAATAATAAAACATGTCCCTTGCCTATTTGACACTTTGACACACAGCGAGGTGCAGCAAATAGCCCATATTGGTTGGCTGCCTGGCTATTTGCCAAGGTTGTCTCGGCCACTGGTGCAGAAGGGTGTATAGTCTTTCAGAAGGATGAGGGGGGGGCATCGTTGTGCGAATGGCCCACATAGCGAACCCATCTTCCCAATTCCCCACTTCCCAATTCCAAGGAAGAGCCTCAGGAGAGACGGAGGGGAGGTGTGCATGCAAAATCATTCCTTCTAAGTTCCTTCCCCACTCTTAACTCAGTCTGCACAACGATGCACCGGCGACACTAGCGCCGTCTTTCGAACAGGGTAAACAACCCCAGGCAATCCTTGGGCGGGAGTTGGTATTTGGGTCTTGGGTGAGTGTAAACCTAGTTCGAACGGAGGGGATTTAGTCGCCGCCGCGGCGCGCGGAATGTTCGCGCCCTCTTAGCGAGATAGTGTAAACTCGCACATTCCTGCTTTTCACACAACTCAGCCACGGAGTCCTCGAAGATTTGTGATGAGTTATGTTTACTATTGACAGAAATTCATACCCTGTCTAGTTCTTACACCTGTATCACCTGTCGTCCCGTTGATCGTCGATTTGCTCGAGCGGTCGTGGATCCTCCTCGCTCGAGGGACACGAAGCCGTTCATTCCTTTCGTTCAGAGCTTTCGTGAAGAAGTCTGACCATCGGGCCGGCGGTCGTCCAGGTGTTCGTTTGACGTCCCGAGGGATCCAGTCGGTAACCGCTCTGGTCCAACGGTCATCGCAAAATCGCATGACGTGTCCGGCCCACCTTATCTTCGATTCCTTGGCGAAAACGGCAGCGTCCCTGATCTTCGATCGTTGGCGTAGTTCGGAACTCCGGATTCCCCTCTGCACTTGCGTGTATAGGGTTACTCCTAGCATCGTCCTCTCGACAGCGCGTTGGATAACGCTGACCGCATGCTCGTCCTGCCTGCGCAGAGTCCAAGTCTCTAGTATATCTAAGTATCCCAATTGTGAACAAGAAAAAAAATCTCGTAATAAAGAATGCGGACATACCGCACCCCAAATCAACGCCTGGCACCCCCTCCCCCCTCAGGGAACAACAGGGACAGCTTTGGA